TTTATCAAATATAAATGTAGATTTTTGACATCTAAAAAAGGAAAGAACACTTTTTGGATCGTACATCTGCTATTGCAGTAATAGTTACCAATGGCGGCTCGATATTGCTCGATAGAATTACCTATCTTTGATTAAAATATTGATACATTTTTCTTTAAAAATAGATTGTAGAGCCGCAAGGTATAATTTGTGAGAGCAATATCGCAAATTGGGCGGAGCATACATACAAGACTGTGAACACATGAAAATGGAGAAAAACAAACAAAAACAAAAGAAAATGGGGGTAAAAAGACAAAAAAATAAAGTACAAAACAAAAATGGAAATCTATGTGATTCAGTCATAAATGACATTTGTACAAAAGAACGACCGATCACCATGAACAAAAAGAAACCAAATGACATTATCAAAGGAGAGCAGGTGGGTGAATAGTGCTATATATATTTACGTAAATGTAGTGCTTAATAGCTACATATAATATAATATGATACGTAAATTGATATTTTGAGTCCTTGGGATTGTAAGTGGCAGTCTTGATGAATGTCTCACATGTTTTGGTTATATATAATTCATTTACCCGTTAAGGAGATTTTCAAGATCCTCGAATGAACGTACTTCGTAACGGTGTCCCTTCTTTTCAAAATTAATGAAAATTCTCCCGTCGTAGGTCCAGAAACTATGGACGATTTCTGATTTTTTTGCTTGTATGATTTTAGAAACTAAGGCTTGTCTATACTTGGTCAAGTCTTCCGTCACAAAAATTTTATTGACATTGTTTTTCAATTCTTTTTTTGCGCTGTAAACTCTGTTTTTGACCTTCCAATTTCTAAATCTGCAAATGATTTGAATTTTATTTTGTTTTGGACTACCAATAGGATGAGATCTATCTATATCATCAGGAGTGATAGTAACACCCATTCCTGCACAGATCTGGATAACTGCGGATTCAGTGTCGAGTGGCTCCCTTGTCCCATCCTCGCCTGGCTCAGGTAACGGGACATTATGGAAGCGTAGAGAAGGTCTGCGACCATACTGCTCTAGGTTGTCTAGCCCATATTCTAAATCATCTACTCTACGTTTTAATTCATCATTACTCTCTTTTAAGGTTTTTATTTCCTCATTTTGCTCTTCTATATCTTTTTGTTGTTCCTTAATTGAACTTAGAATGGGCTGCCTCCTTAATTGAACTTAGAATGGGCTGGAGACAACTTTGAACGATAAGTTGGATGTGGGGAGTGATAGCAGATGCAATAAGTGGAGCAAATGCCCCCATGAAAGCCTGACTATGAACGGCCTTAACAATTAGTTCATTTATGGCGGATGTTTGTATCTCCCCGTCGGAGTCAACTATAGCTGTTGAAGAGCCAGTACTTTCGTTTGGGTCAGGTGATGAACTTAAGACTGTAGATGTTGGGGTCAAAGGAGAGGATGATGGGATTTTTGATTGACTGGGCTCAAAGTTAGTGGCCATCTCGGCTGACAGATTAGAAATATCTGGCAAGGATGAGGAAGACGTGATACGTCTACGAGATGATAAGTGTTCAGTGAAACTTAATTCAGAAGACCTTTTACGTTTGGTGTCCTTGGCAAATCTAGAGTCCGACATTGGTTGGTATCGTGAGTAGAGTTCATTGGACCAAACGACACAATTAATTAAAATTTTGTCTATATTTGATGAACAGCTTCAAAATCACTATTATAGGAAACTATGGCATATTATACGATGATATACTTGCCAGGAGACAATACACACACATGTATCTTCAATGCACCCACTAATTCTCTCAGAGCTTTAACGGCCTACATCTTATACTAATGGCTGACCGGAAGTCCATCGCAATATGGCCTCCTAAATGATAATTGTGACGTCATTAACTTTTCCGTATATTCTTTTAAGGTTGTCGATAATATCAATTTTCAGTGGCAGGCGCGGATCAAGGTGGCTCCACCCAGTTAAAAAAGAATTTCCAATCCAAAAAACTTTTGGCAAGCAAAAAAAAAATGTTAATTCATATTCTAAACGTGAAAAACCTATTTCGTGGGAAGGGGGAAAGTCGTAACTAGATCCGATTATGAATGTATCACGGTGTGAATTTTTATAAAAACAATTTTAGTGACATATGTTTTAGCTGACTTTAAAATATACTCTTAATTTACTGTAATTATTTTAAACAACGTGAGAAACTGTAATTATGCTAATTACTATGTAACTCCGAATCTGAAAATTAATTATTTAATCTATTTACTCAACATGTCATGAGTTATTCCATCTAGGCCATCTGTCACTCATGCTCAAAATTGTGCTAATTGCCATTGTTATATTTTTTTATTTATATGTTACATGAATCACTGTTAATCAATTAACTCCTAGGCTTCGGGTTGTTCGGGTGCAATTTTTGGATTTCCAGAATTCACCCTACCGACCTATTTTATAATAAAGTGCTATTCCATCGTTAGCATTTTTATGTTTTATTGTTGCCGGAAAGTTTGACACTTATTTTCCCCGGTGATAATTGGATCGCCCACAATGATTTTGAGATATGCGAATTTTCAGATTATCATACACAATATATACAAAACAATTAAAGCGGGCGACGACAGCAGACACTATTTTCTTAAGAAAAAAAGTCAAAGAAATGAAAAATGTTAAGGGACTCCGACCCTCAGGAAGGACAACTCTTTAATTTATAATTTAATTCAAAAAGTCTCAAAATGAAGCTTTTCATGCAACAATTTTCAGTATGTGCCTCTCAATGTGTTTCAAGGTTCTTTGCAAAGCTCCATAAATCACTTCTAATTTCATATCATGTTAATAAACATTGGTATCTAAAAATGCTTTTTCGAGGTAAAAATTTCTACTTTTAATTAGACCTTTCTGAGAAGTTCATATAACCTTGAAGCTCATTGAGAGGCATATAATGAAAATTGTTGCATGGAAAGATTTAATTTTCAAGCTTCATTAAAAGACTTTTTGAATTAAATTATAAATCAAAGAGTTGTCCTTCCTGGCTGAGGGTCGGAGTCCCTTAAGGCTTTTCTGCAAAAAAACACTTAGAAATGTGCCAAATTAATTACGCCATATTTCCAGAATGGCCCTCCATCATGACATATACTTTAATTATTCATCATAGTCTCACGTGTGTTTTGCGTCATTCCAAATGTTAAAGAACATTAAATGTTTAGGGCACAAATGTCATAAATTCCAGTAAACACGCTACTTAGCACCTTTCTTTACTCCTCACTAAAATACTTAGTATATACGACTTTTCAACACATCATGCAACGAAACCTCATGATAAATTAAATCTAAGGCTTTTTGGCACCATAGACAGCTGCTAATTCAATAATCTCGTAAATTTACTTAATTCATAATGTAATATCTATTTGCAGAATTATTTTGTTAAAAACCTTCTGATTGTGCACACAAGAACTCTAAAGTTGAAATTTAAAAGATTGTTGAGTTTCTGATTGACAGTATCTACATCAATACCGATGTGGTTTTTGGAGACCAGGTATTCTAACAATCGACTGGAATCTCTATAGATACCAAATGAATGGACCAATGTACATGTAATAAGCAGAATTCATATGAAGTAGAATTTATTCAAAAATTTGTACAATAAGAAAAACTTTCTGAGACCTTCAACTTGACATTTAGATAAATTGACGACGTATTATCAATTAGCAATAGTTATTCCCATTCATAGGTCAAACAAGATAAATCCCAATTAGCTAGAAATAAAAGATACCACAGTGTCTGACATATCTGTTTCATATCTGAGAATTTACTAGAAAAAGGCCATATTGGTAATCTTCATGTTACAACCAAACTTTATGATAATCTTGATGACTTCAACTTTTTAATCAACTTCCTTTAATTTTGCGGCAATATACCTTCATCACCTGCATACGGGGTTTTTATCTCTCAGCTGATTCGATACACATGTTAATGATCTACTTATGAACAATATCAAAGGCGATGTAAGCTATTGACAAACAATGTGATTGTACCTGATCCCATCTTTGATGTTTAAGAAGTCCGTATTTGCTCTGCTCTTGAATTGTATTGTTTAAATGGACTTTTGAGCTTGACTACTGTTTCGTATCTGCATATATTTCGTTTAATAGTTTATCTATGCGTTAAAGGTAGATTCTTGAACATAATGTTAACAAGCAAGATATATGTCAACATGCGACTTATTGATGTTAACATGCAATATCAATATTAAGACATGCAACCTATTTATGTCAACATGCAAGATTATTACTGTAAACGTATTACATTTAGCGGTGTATTTCTACTTAGCGATTTTGGCGGAAAGCAGAGTCCCTTAATTCAAGTACATAGCTGAATGTCTTGTATATTAATATTTATAACTAGCACATTCAGGCAGCGCTAAATCAAATCTACTCTAACTTGTTAGAAATTGAATTTCCGCCAAATATCGTTTACGCCAAACGTAATACATTTACAGTATGTTAACATGCAATTAAATTTTGTCAACGTGCAACTTATCTTTGTGAACACGCTTACCTAATTAACTGAGTCTCGCGTCTTAACATAGTTATCTTGCATGTTACATAAGTTGCATGTATGGTGATATATAATGGCGTTAGTAATTAAGTTTACCAATATAACTTTTTTGTCAACATACTTTATTGCATGTTGACTTATTGTTGACATAAATAAGTGGCATGTCCACATAGTTATGTTGCACAGCATAAATTATCTGGAATACCAAACTTATTTATAAATATACTTTAAAAATTAAAAGTCTAAAAATATAGAAGCATTTTTTTTCCTTATAATTTGTTAACAAAGTTTGAACTTGTATTAGCCATGTATTGTGTTGTTTACTTGCCCTATAATATGAATTGTCATTGTTCTGTGTACAGATACAAAGTACTCTAGAGTTCCTTCTTTGTGAATAGTTCCAGCTGACAAAAAATGAAATAGTGCATTAAGTATATCTCCTATTATCAGCTGTGGGTTGTGTCAAGATATGGATCTATTTTTCACAAGTTTCTTTATAATTCTGAGTCACTTTGGTAAGCACACTTCTCTATTACTCAGCTGTGAACTTTTGGGGGAGGGGGATCCATAAGAGTAAAAACACGCATCAATAAAGCGGGAAAGATCTTTTCCTAATTATATGTGGAAATTAAGGGGAGCTTTGCGTCAGAGCAGCAGTATAGTATTTTTACGCCTTAAGATTCTCAAATGATGAAGTGATTCAATTCTTGAATATTTTCGTTGTTTTGGGGGATCATATCTGCCAGCAATCTATTAGAATTCCCATGGGATCCAATAGCGCCCAGTAATTAGCAAACCTTTTTTGTATACATTTAAAGCAGAATTTGTGCAAATTTTATGCATGAAAAGACGAAAACATTTGCAATGGCCACAGAGTCTGACACATCTTTTTCATATTAGGATATTTTACTTTAAAAAGATGTAAATGGTAATCTAAAAACCAAGCTCTATGATAAACGTGATGACTTGAACTTTTCAATCTTCAACTTCCCTTACTTATGCAGCAATATACATGTACTTTCATAACCTGCATACGAAGTTTATATATCTAAATTGATTCGATACGCGAGATGCTCTACGTATGAACGATTTCTAAAACGGGGTAATTTATTGAAAAACAAGTTGATGAAACAAGAATATTAGCAGTCTCGTTTAAAGTCATCATTTTGTTAGTTCTATGGTCGATACAATGACCTTGTCAGCAAATACTATTTAAAATTAGATCAAATGCAGACTGACGTTTTTCATACTAATCGTAAGTCCATTATTTATGCACTGAATTGAGACGGATTTTTCATTATTTCCCGATCATGACAAGGAGCGAACTGAGGTTATAACCCGTCAGCAGGGGATGCTCACTCCTCCATGGTACCTGATCCCACCTCTGATGTTTTGAACGCCCGTGTTTCCTCCGCTCCTATTTTGTATTTTTTTTATATACATTTGATCTTGAAATCTGTTTGTTATCTCCATTGAAGTTCATAGTTTAGCCCTTGACAACTGTCCGCCAAACCTGAATAAAAGCGACCTGTACACATACGGGGATTTTTGTCTGAAGGTACATTATGGGAACTACGACTGGGATGACGCAAGACACCAGTGTCTTCAAGAGGGCGGAGACTTAGTTCAGATCCGGGATTCTGGGATGCAGCATTTTCTCCAAAGAATTCTGTCAGGTCAAAGGTCAGAGGAAGACGGGTTCTGGATTGGGGCGAGCGACAACGAGTCAGAATCACATTGGAAATGGGTCTCGGGTGAGCTAAACGTTTTGTTCTTGTGAACATTGATAAAACTATTCAAAATAACAATTTACATAGTTATGATATTATAAGGACTGAGTTTTACTAGATGCATAGTCAGTTTTCTTTCAGCGAGGCATGCGATTTTCATATCGATAAAGTAATAAGCATAATCATGTACATGTAAAAACTTCAGCTAGGGAGAGATTTTGGAACTTAAAACTTCATATACATGAATATATAATTTGCCAACGAAGGTTGGAAATGAAAGATGTTAAAAAGACTGTTATCACTGATGCTATACATTTTTATATATTAAAAAATGACAGGTGATCCTAGAATGAGTTACAGTAATTGGGAACCTGGACAGGGGCCATCTCAAAGTGGCTTTTTCCTTGCCAGTGGAACTATTGAAGACTGTGCTCTAATGAGAGTAGACAGTGGATTTAGATGGCATGATTATGACTGTAGCAGTATATTCTACCATTATTCCTCGATCTGTCAATACGGTAAAAGAGCTTAACATTCATTTTTATTAATAATTATATAAATTGATAATGAACAAAGTGTAAGAAATTTGTTCAGTAACTCTTGTTAAACACAGACTTTTGATACTGAAGTGATTATAAAGAGTTATTTTATAACTTATGTTTTGTAAGATACTGTCCATAAAACAACAACTTCATCAACATACGAGACGGTTGGAGACATCATAGGCTAAAGGAATATATAATTATGTGATCTACCTGATGTAAAGTTGATAGTTTTCAATATTTATTTTTAGATAAATAAAAATGTCACACCTAATAAATACTCTTTTATACATTGCATAAAAAAACACTTCAAGTCTAGCGATTTTTAGTGTGAAATAGCTTGGCGTTTAACAATGTTTATTTGAACTGATTTTGCCATACGAATACGACTAATTATGTTCTGAAATCTGAAATGCAATCCTTCAATTTCCAACACGTCGTCCTTAACAAAATAAATTAAAATATCTGATCAACAGCAATATTTATGATGGGTAGTGACAGCTAGGTAGGTTGTGTTTATTTTTTACTTTAAAATTGAAATTATATATTAAATGATTATTTCTTATAAAATTTAAAAAACTCAGCAACAAAAGTGGAAATCTTAAAGAATAGAAAGGCCATTGGTGTTATTACGATGTTGTGGAGGTCGATGTTTGCATTGCTCTTATTTGGTATTGTTTTATGGACCTTTGAGCTTGAATACCGTTTGGTAACTCCATATGTTTCATTATTATTGAAAACTTTCAATGCACACACTGATGTTGAATATTTTTTGATTTAGATAGTGACATCGAAAAACTCACTAAATTTTGGTTATTTCATTTAAATAATTAATATAAATCATAGCGAAAACGTTTCAGATATAACAATTATGCATAGCAAGTGTCAGATCAAAAAGTAAAATATGAGGTACACAATGGCATTATGTAAAAAAAAATATCTGTGAAAGTATCACTTAATTTCATGCAGCGGTACATTTATGAGGCGTTCCAGATAAGAGATGGGCACCCTAAAGCGTAACAGACAGACGGATGGATGTACAGACATCCCGATCACCATATGCCCTCCCACTTTTCAAGCGGGGATTTAATGAGTTCTGTGAAATCATTAGATTTCGTGGTGGCTCAATATTCTTGGATTTCGTTAATAGGAGTTTTAAGCCACCTTTCTTTTGCAATTATAAGTTAATGAACGATATTACGTTATACGTTCCCTTGAACCTGTAAAATTTATGCAATCCACGATAAATGACTCCTATGAATTTTGATGATTCCAAAGTTTTAAACTTATATTGGGGAATATTGGCACACAATATTTGCTCACAAGGTCATTGAATCAACCATACAACTTATGAATAGTGACTTTGATATACTTTTGTCATTCAATTACCTGTCACCTGTCATAAACTGATTGCCTCGATTATAACACAAAATAAAAAAAAACATTCCATATTCTAATGAACCAAAAAAGATGAAATGTTTTCTTAGGCAAATGTGAGCACTATATGTTGAAACTTCATTAAAATGGTTCAATTTCTAGAACAACCTCGTTAAATCATGTCATAGCTTAACAAATGAAAAAAGAAAATGTCTTTCACTGCAAAATGAACTCTATAATTAAACTTTAATTTATTAACTATTAATAGTCAATCCGTCTGTCTGTAACTCTTTGGGGTACCCATCTCTTATCTGGAACGCCTCATAAATGTACCGCTGAATGAAATTAAGTGACACTTTCACAGATTTTTTTCCCCATTTAAATAGGAACGTAGCATCTCCTGTAGAGGGGGTCCTTCTCTTATGATGAAGTTGAAGTACATTGATTAACTTCTGCTGAGCAAATATATGTCAGTTTAGCAAATCTAAACATTCACCTTTCTCAAAATTCATTCAGGTTTGTACACAAGGAGGAAGGGATTTTTTGGAAACCATATGTAAAATGTTATTTATTGTCAGTTTCTTCTTTAAAATCTATTACATGCCTTATTACAAAGTCATAGAACAAATAAAATACATCTATGTGTGTAAAATAATCAGGCTTTGAAAAATAAACGGATATCATTATAAGAGAGGATATTATGAACATCACTAATCCAGCTTTGAAGCAAGGGTTGTATCTCCGAGTTATTTTGTGATGAATGGTAATTGCAGCAGGATTACAAACCTTCAACAGAAAGAAAGAAAATTCCTCTTGTTGATATGAACAAAAATACAAGTGAAACCCATTTTTATACTAAGTTTCAAATCAACAATTAAAATTAAATTTGCAAGAAATGACAAGAATGAATGGAATGTTAAAAAATATTTTTTGTCAACTTCCATAATAAAATGTTATTTGTGCAAGAGATAAGACTGAGAAGATGTATTTTAATTTAAACATTGATATTTGTGGTGGTGGAAGAGTTACCTGGGTCATAAATTCAATGACGGGGATATCTATATCTGGACATGTCTGATGCCTGCTGTGTCCATCGGAATAAAAATCATCACAGTAGTTAGTACATTGTAAATACCGATCATTGGTCAGTCCAAGCTTATTCTGAAATTCTTTTCTTATTCTGAGGAATGATTCACTTCTTTCATTAACTTTGTCCATGTGTGTCAACACACCATAAAGCGGTATAGCTAGAAACATAACCATGGAATTGTAAGTTACAAAGACAATATAACCATAGAATAATACAACTTCAAAGACAATAGAGCAGGTTTATAGGTGTACCGATCTAATAATGAAAGAGACATTGCTATAAAGACGATAGAACCATTTGCGTAGGGCTGGGCAAAAATATCGACATTTCAATATATTGCAATACAATGACAAAAAATATCGTATCGCAATACGATTTTGTAATATCGATATATTGGCAATATGCTTAGATTAAGGAATTTTGTCATTAAATATAAAAATACACTTATGAAAATTTGTTATTAAGCCAAACAGTACGACAGAAGTTGTTTTGTGAGTGCATTTCAGAACATAACTTAAATAAAATCAGCAAGATTTTTTCCGTGTTGATTACTTTTCACAGTTATGTACATTCTGTATGTAAATTAAGTAAATATAGTAAGAAAATGCCATTTTAATTACATTGAAAATATTGCAATACATATCGCAATACAGTTTGAAATATCGCAATATATCGCAATACGAAATCTTGGGCCAATACCCAGCCCTACATTTGCGGATTGATTTCTACAAGTATTAAGTTCTCTATGATTATAGATCGCAAAATGTCTTGTGTTTGGTGCAGTTTTCTACAAATCCACGTTGTCGTTCTTTAAAATTCTTAAAAGAAATAACGTTTATTTTTGGAATACCAGAAATACTCATATAGAGATCTTTGTAATTCTTCAGGAGATGTGTGCGTAGTTGAAGTTTTGAATGTCAGTTGAGTACATTAAGACTAAGTAAATAGATCCAGGGGCTAGAAAGTCCGATGGATGTCGTTCCCTCGGAGCAAATCAATTATAGCTGTTACTCTTATAAAGTTGGTTGAACTCTCAAAAATAATGGACTTATGTTAAGTGTATGAATGCGTTATCAATCATTTGCTAATAATGGACAATAACTCCATAAAAATGTTGGAATTGCATATTACCTCTGTTGGGGGAGTTGGTTGTGTTTCGTAACAATTCCATCAGGTTTTGTGGAATTGCTGACACAGCGGAGGCTACAAAGACAACTCTATCTATCCTGACTTTCCTTCTTTTAAAGAAACCATATTTTGCTTGCAGTCCCTTTTCTCCAGAGAGACCGGCTTTCTCAAATCCTCTACAAAGAAACGAAAAATATGGGCTCAGATTGAGTGAAAGAATCCTTAAGAACTGTTACAGTCCACGGACGTGTAAATATAAATTAATACAGACTAACTAAAAAACCGCACACTGACCCTCAAAGCAAAATATTAGTCCAGGCTAATAACATTAATAATGGCATTGTGTGTCTCCTCAGATGTTGAATTTGATAACTAGAATTCATATACACATACGTAAATGTCAATTCGAATTCTAAAAGCTTAAAACAGGCCAAGTATTTCAATCAACATATTTCATTTTCATGATTTTGTCTCTCATTATACACCAAACTTTACTTGTAAACGTCAGCAGCCTTTTTGATGCTCTCGCCGTCAGAGAAGTAACCATTTAACAGCCACTCCAGGAGGGTCCTGTGAATTTCCTGCGGATTGTCCTCAAAGCCTTGGGTGTCGATAAGAGTCGGCAATTTTCTCCGCCAACATCCCGGCATGCAACGCTCTGTGTCGATCCTTTTACAGAATACGTTAAGATATAAATGGGGATTATATTACGCGAATTCGAAAAATAAACATTCCCGCTAAATGTGTTCAATTTTATTCTTATATTCAAGATAATTTTGAAAAGTGGCGAAAATAGACCCCGCCCACTTACATTCTGATGTGGAATGTCGTTTGACGTCCCTCGCCCCCCGATTGTCCTGCGTAGGCATACGGTTCCCATTCTCCGGACAAACTGGCACAGACTGTGTTGATGAACGTGGACTTCCCCGAACCATACTGACCAAGAATCAACACATTCTGTGCTTTACTACTTTTCTTCATTTTCTTTAAAAATCGCTGTAGGCTTTCTTCTCTGCTCATTTTACAACTGCAATACACGATAAAAATAATTAATTTTCATATATGTATATATATAGCTATTTAAAAATTAAGATAATATGGGTAGACTTTATCAGCGTTTGTCTAGAGGCCCTCTCACACAGTTAGTCAGTTGAGAAACAATTTCGGTAAAATGACCGTATTTAGATATCAGCTATGTTAAGATTCAAAAGAATGCAACAGTGCATAGATTTGCGAAGAGCATCACAATTCAATGCCATAAGCATAAAATTATAACATAATTTCAACGAACAGTGTCAAACAAGTTTTAAAGTTTGTTTATGCAGCAAGTTTCAACTACTAGGATTTGTTGTTGAGTGTCACGTGCAGACAACAAACTTTTCATTATGAATATTCATGAAATCTCTGTTTACCAATAAGCTCGTACAATGTAATAAATATCTTGATAAACGTGACATTGAGCTTTGAAGATTATAAGCATATATGAACCACATCTGTATTCATAATTTAAAGAACATAAGAAACCTGTAAAACATTAGACAAAATCTGCACAACTAAATATTTACCTGTTAACATGCTTTGTGGACAGTCTCCATTAAAGTTTTCAGGTCTATACACGAGAATTGATCGATAGCTTGTTTTTAAAAGGACGCCTCAGTGGACATCTAGATTTCCACATTTTAAAAGCCCTCTCAAATTTTCTATATTACTATAGGCATGGGCTCTAACGAATTTTTAGCTTAATCTAACGTTATATCATATAAAGAAAGTTTTATTGCATATATGTTAATCTTTTTCATGAGAAATGTTATAATAAAAAACATAGGTACTAAACACAGGGGGTCAACAATTTAAGACAGTTTGGTGCCTGTGGAAAAATGGAAGCCGTAATATTGACTATTTATCAAGTAACAAGGATTCTAAAAATCCTTAATATCATTAACCAACATTTATTTCAATTTTTCTTCGAAATCGATTAAATGATATACAAAGTTTACTTACATATATACATGTATAAGTATAAATAACATACAATGACAATATGCTATTTAACTATACAATAGAAAATATTTCCTATTGTTCATCATGTTCATGTCTGAAGTCCGATCTAATCCTCACTTTTTATTATTATTATTAAAACAAGGATTTTTAAATGATTGAAAAACATTAGCCTAAAATATTCAGGTCATTGAAGCTTTTTTCTGTTTTGTTGTAAAATACAAAATTTGGCAATTGTTTTCATGGAATAAAAAATAGTCTCATTTTAGAATCAAGTGCTGAATAAAATGTAAATGTTATTTTTGATTCATTGCTTTCTTCGTTTCAAACTTATACATAAAGTTATTCAAGATCGACTATGAAAGACACACATAATTGAAACCTTATATTAAAATATTGATCGCCTCGTTTGTTTTCAATAAATCTAAACAGATTACGTCGCTTTCATGCATTGTAACAAAGTTATTGACAGACGTTGAATATAGATCCAATCTTTTATATTCCTGGTCATAAGAACTTGATTTAATATCGATGTTTTAAATCAAATATTTGACCTTCTTTCCCGTGGGTTGGATATAAGCAATAACAGCGAAGACTCAGATTACGATGCTGCAATCTCAGATTTGATTTGATTGGAAATTGTATCTGTTCTATTGTTTTCGGAGATCTACGTTATCTGTGGGTTATAGTTCTTTTTTTTCTTTATTGAAAATACATATTTTTGTTACTTGTCTATAACCAATTTGTGTTCTTGCCTAAGCTTTTTTACTGTCAATTCAGTATGTAACACTAGTGATAACTGCGGCGGTTTTTCGTTCATTCTATATGTAAAGGTAAGATTTAACAATTTTAAACTATTGTATCAATTTCTTTTCGGTATTCTATCAGTAATTTTGTGTTACATGTTCAAAAATATTTTATGTTTTTTAATCTTTTTTTAAAAATGTCTTTTTTATCCTTTTTACTTCACGTTTTTAACCTTATTTTAAGGATGCCAAAGGGAAAAGTCAAAATAGGCTATCCTAACGAATCTTTCGTTGGGAAAGGCGCAATGTTTGCGGATATCGCAAAAGAGTCTTTGCGCATTCGGATGCATGTAAACCGAATAAACGAACTGGAAGATGAAAAATTGAATAAACTTACAAAACTAATGAATCGTGACAAACGGGTACAGGAGTTTCTGCTTCAGCGAGTTATGGACCGTACAGAGCGGAATATCGAACAGCTTCGCGGATATAGGGAAGTCATTGGGGCGGACTACAGGGTCGATAACTTCCAGACGATGAAACATGGCTTCAAAAAGAGGCTGGTACAATCACCTCGAACAGCAAGACATATTTCATTGGAAACCAAAATATATAACGGAGGATATCAACCTGCATACTTTAAACATGAGATCCAGAGGAAGATTCGGCAGGCGGATCCAAATGTTGTTCATAGAGTAGTGAAGAAAATTCTTAAAGAACAATGTCAGGAAGAATCCGGAAAAGTTCTGGACCGGAAGTTGTCTGATATGTCGTATTATCGAACGCTGAGAGAAAAACAACAGAAAGGTCAGTTTCAATTGAGACCTCAAGTCCGTCATCTGGTTCCTGTCTCCAAAATCAACAATAAACCTTACAGCCAAAACCACCGACTTCAGAACTTTCCCGTAATACACTGAACAGTCTCAAAATATATTAATTTTCTGGAGAACATTCCACAATGCTTAGAACATATACACGGTACTTTGTTTCAACAAGGGTCATGTGTATTGATGTTTGTGCTTTTGGTCCTAGCCATATAACTAATGATACACTCGTTGATGGCTTATCTATAGTCCTCTTTTCTATTTGAAAACATGTTAAGAATGCTTTAACTATTTAGATGTGTCAAAAGTGTTAATTTCTTCTAGACCATGTTTTACAGGTGGTAATTTTATTTTCCTGTATAAAACATCATTTGACTCTGCCAGAAAGATATTTGCGACTATATTGTGCACAAATTCTGTTCCAATAAGGTGTTCTACTAGAGGTATGACCTTGTCAGCAAATGCAGTTTACCACTGAATCAAATGGTGACTGACATTTTTATTACTAATTGTAAGTCCATTGTTTACACACTGGAGGCGGATTTTCCGTTGTTTCCCATTCATGACACGTTCTCCATGACACCTGTTCCCACCTCTGATGTTTTGGAGGTACTGGTTTGCTCTGCTCCTATTTTGTATTGATTGTGGAGCTTTGGACCTTGAATACAATTCGTTTTCTCCATATATTTCATTTTACGTTGATTTATTATTGTTCTTTACAATTCAATTTAGATAAAAAAATTTAAAACAGAAGTGTTCAGTATCTTTTATTTAACAATAAAAAGAAAAAACAAAAGGCATAACAGGCATGAATTTTGCTATAATAGTGATTGTTATGTGAATGAAAAGACAGTGTATATGGAAGCACTCTTCAAAGTCAACACTATATTATAAGATATACATTGTATATCCTTGAGTTTTGACATTTAACATTACGTTAAATTTAAACATAATTTTGTATAATATATACACATAAATTGTTTATCTTTAGAGAATAAACTTGTAGATATGTACAGGAATATAAAATCATGTTTTTTAGCCATGATTGATATGCATGTATACGTTGAAGAAAAGTGCATGCCAGACAATACTAAATGTAAAACAAATACTAGTTTTATGACAAATTTCCAGATGTCTTTAATAAACTTTGATCTCTAAATACTGTTCACAAGACTTGTTCCTGGGACAGTTTGATATGTTAAATATGTTAACATTCATGATTGCACAGACGATCCCCTGCTGAAAAACTGGTAAAATAATCTGTAATTAAAAAATAAAAATAAAATTGTCTATTACAGTAGTTTTAAAAAAACTGCAAAAAAGAGGGAAAATATCACTGAATCTAAGCATGGCTTACCTAAGAGCAAATAAGTACAGGAATAAACTGCAGCCTACACCAAAGACATTGTCAATATACCAAAGCGATGAGTTATGTTCATACAGGTCTATAGCTAGGAAAGCCGAAAAACTTATAACAGCGCCGACAAACGTGATTACACCTATCAAAAATAATTACATTTGCTTATATAAAAGTCATTTTCAAATTTATTTTCAAATGCAATTATTATAGCAACTTTACAGTAACGCTCTTTAATTTGGCCTTGAAAATATATTAACACATAATTATATTTAAAACGAACAGCTTTTAAATGAAGGATATTGAGATAACGAACAACGATAAATAAACAGAAATAATGGTAGTTGCACTTTAATTTTCATGTTATCAAGTACAAAAATCGTTTTTGAATTATTTATTGCATAATTTACACTTTATTTTGTAAAAGTAAATGAACCTACTATCATTCATCAGAGATTTACTCTCTAGTTTGTACCCAATACCACACTTCACAATCCCCAGTACAAGATTAGAACAGCCATTGACCAGGGACAGTATACTCAATGTCACAAGCTGAAACAAAATGAATTACTGCATTATAATTCCATATAACATTTTTTTCAAAATCAATAACATTAAAACTTAAGATTTTCAACTGTATAACACATGTATATTCAACCATTACCCACAATAAATTAAAAATATTGACATCCGTAACAGCTGCTTTTGCAATAAGAACGAAACTCCTAAATTTAGTTGCCTTGTAACTGGTCATTTGCAAATTCCTTTTATCAAAAATAATTCTGATTGTACACACAAGAACCACGGAGTTTTATTGAAAGTTTTGATGGTATCTGTGTTCTGAGAGACTAGGTCAACCATTAACTTGTTAGAATTCTTATAGGTACAAATTGCTTCCCAAAATGTGCAAACCTTTGAAACAGGAAACCTGGTATATTCAATTTTTTATGAATAAGATGAAGGAAACACTTGTTTCAGTTTGGTATTTAGATATATCAACGACGTACTATCAAGTCTTTTTGCACATTTGGATATTTTACTAGAAAAAAGGACCTTTATGGTAACCTTACAAAGAAACTTTATGATATACATGTACATAGGCGTCGGAACCAGGTGGAGGGGGGCTAGGAGGGCCCCCTTTTTTGCAAAGATAGACAAAATACAGGCATTGAAAATTGGCTTGACCTTTTTTTTGGTTGTTAAGGCCCACACGCTTTCAATTATCCCCCCCTTTCAATTTGCTTCCGACGCCAGTGAAAATTAAATAACGTGATAACGTTAACATTTCAATCGTCAAGTCTCTTTACTTACGCAACATATCCTTTTATCTAAATTAGAGGTTTATATCTCTCCGTCAATTCGAAACGAATACCCAATATATTTTCTCAAATTTCTAAAACGACGTAATTGAAGCAAGAAAACTTGCACCTTCCATCTCAAAATCAAGGTGGAAGTTGAACTCGCAAAAAAACAGGTTGATGAAACTAGAATAATATTACAAACAGTCTCGTTCAAAGCCATCATTTTGCGATGCAGTTACCTTGTCAGTTAGTTCTATCTACATGTACGTGTATCATTCTGTAAAATGCTGATTATTTTACCTCTAATTTTCAACAATTATCTTGCGATGAATACTAGTATTCGATAATTATTCGATTTCCCATAATGTATCGATCATGACACGGAGCACACTGCGGGTATGAACAGTCGGCAGGAGATGGTTACTGCTACGTGGCACCTGATTCCACCTTTGATGTTTTAGACGTCCTTGATCGCTTCATTCCTGATTTGTTTTGGTTGACAGGGCTTTTAAGATAAGGATATGGAGATACTGAGCAGTTTTCAATAATAAAGTCCATAAAACTGTACAAAATAGGAGCAGAGCAAACACGGACCCCCGAAACATCAGAGGTGGGATCAGGTGCCATGGTGGAGTGAGCATCCCCTGCCGACTGGTCAACCCCGCCGTGTGCTCCTTGAATGCTGTTTTTTATCCCCATATATTTCATCCTATCTCAACTTTTACTATCACCGTACAGAAATACAGTTGTAGCATTTTAAGGACAGGGTGACTGATGTTTTGTAAAACAAAGAGGCTTCTTCGGTGTAATAGGGAACAATAAAAAAACAAAAAAGCTAATCTATATGTGACAATTACCTGTTTTTCTTTGTTTTCTTTGACCAATGTTACAATGGTCATAACCAGTAAACTTGTGCTGGACACCACAAATAAAATGGCTATAATCAAACAAGCCCTGTAGAGAAAATAAGCAAAAAATCTTCTAAATGCATACCATCACAGACAGCTTATTACAGTTTGACAATTATTTGGTAAAGCAATACATTTATTTTAATGATCATAAAATAGCAATTCAGATTGTCAACTCTAATTTTATTTCATTAAATCGTTCATATTATACAAAAATCTGTATTCTAAAGATCATATAAAGGTCATCACTCTGTGTACTAGTAATATACAGTACTAAGATCCGAGTAAAGGTCTTAATTGTAAGCTGTTGCAGCCCTTTTAAGGAATGTTTTGAAGTTTTTATATGAGTAAAACATTTGAAGAGACGTTAAACAAACAATTTCTCAGATATATTTACTGATGTCAACTCACTTTTGCTCTCGGCTCTCGGAGTAAAGATCTTTGCTGTGAAATCGCCATAATACCACAATGGAAGATGTACTGTCTAATATTGCATTAAGCTATAGAAAGGATGTTGTTGGTTTAAAAAAAATTAGAATCCAAACTGTTTAAGTATAAAATCTTAAACCCATTTCATTTAAATATAAAATTCCAAAAAGCTATTGCGCACAAAAAAGTGTGGATCTGATACCATTTCGTAAAATATGAACATAAATGTTACGCTGGAAGGATAAAATGTTGATGTTCTTTAAGGAAATTCTATTTTGATAAGTCTATATTTACTTACTCCAAAACCGAATAATGTGTCGCTGCTGAGTTTTGAAGCATAAACTGAAAAGAAATTTTAAAACAATGGGGAAAAAGTTAATGCTGTAATCATACAGGACATCGGTCAATATTTTAACG